CCTCTGACTATGCTGATAAGCTTGCAGAGAGAGAAGCATTAAAGAACATATACACTGAGGTCCCTTGTTTGGGTGGCCTTACTATGTATTATTACTGACTGTAGTGTAGCTAGCAATAATCGGGTAGAGCCAGCTGTCACTCACGCAGCTGGGCGGATCTCGACATCGATGTCAGGATCCGCTGCGGCGCCTCAGTATACCGCGAGCTGTAGCTCGCGGTATACTGAGCCTAGGGTAACGGGAGGACGCTAGTTTGTGTCCTCCCGTTACCCTAAGGAGAACTATGGGGAAAAACACTGACCCCATAGTTCTCCTTTAAAGGTCACTAAAGATGGAAAAAAAAACCTGTAAGCTACCTGCAATAGAAAACACAGTATGCTCGCCTCTCCCACTGCCGATTCCAAGCTAAGCACTTAACGCAGAACTTCAGCCAAAAATAACAAAATAACAATGAATAGTCTGTAAAAGATGAAATTACAAAATTGCCTTTTTGCTGCAATATTCACCTTCAGTCCAGAGATTTTTCCCCACACTTTTTTTCTGCCGCAAGATTTCCTTAGTCTGATGGACAGCATTATTTAACCCACGTCCTCTGAGCCCATGTCATTCTGGAACTGCCACTATCCTGTGATTGGACTGTAAAAGGAGAACCAGCGCAGTGATGAACTCCTCTCTTTGTCACTCTGCTTTCTCTTCCTACTGGGATGTTCTTTGTCGGCACAGGAACTGTTTGGCTTTTTGTGCTGCATCTCCCTCTCCCAGTCTGAACTCTGCTGTGCAAGAGGCTGATGCCATGTCACGTTCAGGTACTTGCACTGCTTGCACTTAAAAATGACATTCAATAATGTATTGATGAAGACGGAGCTCCATTAATTTGTGTATTTGATATCTGCCTGGAGTTTAGGTTTAACCTGTAACACATAACTTAACTCGGGGGCGCCCTGAGGCAGGGTGTCACCCGGAGCGGGTATAATTTGCAAGGCTAGGGACTATCTGGGGACAATGTGCAAGGTTTGGGGGCTGACTGGTTGGGTGCTGTCTCCAAGAATAAAGGCTGACTGAATAAATGCAGTTTGCTGGATGGGTGCAATCTGCAGGGCTGGGGACTCGCGGGATGGGTGTAATCTGCAATACTAGGGAGTGACTGCTTAGGTGCAATCTGCAGAGTTGAGGAGGGTCGGAGTGGGTGAAATCTAGGGGGAATTGTTGGGATTAGTGCAATCTGTGAGGCTGGGAACTGCAGAACTGGATGATTCAGGAGCTCTAATGAGCCCTGCATTGACATTAGCGAACCCAGAGCCTTTACACATCATTCTATTCCTACCATACACAGAAGTCATTGAAGACCTCCAAGCAAAAAATGTTTGGAGACCTCGAGTTCAGAAAAGACTGACATGACAAGGTGGATGTGACTATTTCTCTTGCTCTTATGCCATGGCCCAACTATATTTCCTTTGTTATGAACAGTCTTTAGGCTTTCTCCTGGTCTTGGTGTGGGAGAACATGCTCACTTGCAATGCAATAACTATACGGTTTAGTATTTGGGACAGCGGGGAAGCGGAAACATGGCAGGTCCTCCGTAGGACTCCATGACGTTTTTTTGATAAAATAATTTCCCATCTGAAAAAGTTAAATGTCCAAAATGTATCAGTTGTTGTAACATTCACAGGGCTATTCACAAAAGGGTGAAGGGTTTGGAGAAGGCAGGAGAAGTGAACCATCTAGGACAACATAGCTGAACTGGAAACATTCTCCAATTCGGATCACTTTCCAGTTCAGCTGTGTTGTCCTAGATGGTTCACTTCCCCTGCCTTCTCCAAACTCTTCACCCTTTTGTGAATATCCCTGAAACTGTTTTATAAATATTGGGGAATGTTAGAGTCCTGGATTTCCTGGATCAAACCATGGGAAACCCAGATGTACATCCACTGCAACTTGACCTGGCAAATTGGGCCAACACGTATGCTTGGCAAGAAACCTGCCAGGGCCTAGGGGTGAAAATATTTGGGTTCAGGTTTAAAAGGATATGGGATGGGTATCTTTGTAAATTTTTGTTACATTTTATTAAACCAATGTTAAGGTGCCCATACACCTTACGATTATCGTACGATAATCGTATGCGATCGACTTTTCGAACGACAATCGTACGTGTGAATAGAGTGCCCGAACCGACATTACTGTACAATCGTACGACTTTTGACGGTCAAGCATGTTTGAAAACTTTGCTCGATCATACGATTGTCGTAAGGTTGCTGGCATTTCCGTCCGTCAAAAGTCGTACGATCTACACCGCGCATGCGCGAACGAAAATACGACAAATCAATTACCGCATTTCGTCCAGGTGCTTCTTGTTAATTACGGCTAAATTAATCTTGCGATCATCGGGGCAGGGTGGGGCTGTCGTACGAAAATCATACGACTATTCGATCATCAGACGAAAGGTTTCGTCCGATAATCGTAAGGTGTATGGGCACCTTTAGCCATAGAATTGCTTTCTATGAATTATTTTGTATTTGTTCTATTATTATGTATTATATTTTTGTTGAGATATATACTGCATAGCTGGTGGTTAAATATTGAGGGTTAACGACTTGGTACTCAGTGTAATGGATGTTTGTTTCCCCAAAGGGTGCCACTAGTGTCCAATAAAATAAAAATTCACTCCAACTTGTTGCATCTCCGGACCAGCTGAGCCCAACATAAACCCATGTGCAGCTTGGAATGAGGAGGAGGTGGAAAAGCACTTTGCTATTGTCTAGTAGCAGATGTGCGCCATGGCTCCCCCTCGATACTGACACCAGGTGCAGCCTGTGCTACTCATAATCCCAGTCACCAACGCTCATCTGTTTCTATTGTCTCTTAAGGAAATTAGCATTGCATTCTGACCTCCCCTATGGCTGCAGGTGACTGTCACAGCATCAGCTGTTGTCCTTGACTCCCCTGTACCACAGACATACGAGGAGGGAGGGGAGGACTTCTTTTTTGTGTGTTTTTAAATTAGTCCTTCCCTAACAAAACCGTGCATGATTGCACTCAGCCCTTAAGTAGGCAGCGAGGACGTAATTTATCCTTGCTAACATCTTATTTGTAAGGTCACAAACACTACAAGTGCCATTGTGCGCGTCTTCCGAAATAACTTCACCGACTGTTTAAAAAAACAAACAAGTGTCCGCTTTGTAAACTTTTCATCATTGTAAGCCCTCACGGGCAGGGCCCTCCTTACCATCTTGTCTTAAATTGTATTGTGACTGTAATGTCTTCCTTATATTGTAAAGCGCTGTGCAAACTATTGGCGCTATATAAATCCTGTATAATAATCATAATCATGGTGGGAATCTTAATTATTTTATCAAACTGCAATGACTATGGAGATGAGTTTTGTTTAAAAAGATGAAGGGTTGTATTTTTTTAAAGGGCACTTGAAAGCAGAGAAGTACTATGTGCAAAATGTGGAGGTGCAATTCAACAATCTAAAAATATAAATAAAATAAGATTGTAGGGGTTTGCCAAACCAGACTGAATTCTGCTACCTGCAGTCTGTCAAGGGATTTGCAACAGTCAATGCTTGAGAATGGGGCACTTGCATGCAAAAAAAGTGTATGTTACGTTTCGGGCACCAACCACTGAACTTGGTCAAATTAAAATGTCACTGTTGCCCCCCCCTCCCCACCCCCCAAATTATTGACTATTCCCAAACCTTATTTTTACCCATTAACCCTATCCCTTCACCTTGCATAACACCAACCCATTTCCACTTTTGCAGCCAATTTGGATAACGCCTACTATAGCATTTCTCTATTTTTTTCAGTCACGGCACCCTTTAAAATGTAAAAAGTCTTGAGGTACTCCAGTCTAAAATGCAATGGATTTCAGCCCAGAGTCCTCAGTGCCCTCTTCAGCCCAGAGTCCTCAGTGCCCTCTTCAGCCCAGAGTCCTCAGTGCCCTCTTCAGCCCAGAGTCCTCAGTGCCCTCTTCAGCCCAGAGTCCTCAGTGCCCTCTTCAGCCCAGAGTCCTCAGTGCCCTCTTCAGCCCAGAGTCCTCAGTGCCCTCTTCAGCCCAGAGTCCTCAGTGCCCTCTTCAGCCCAGAGTCCTACCATCAAAAGATTTTGAGGCACCCCTGAGGAAGCCAAAAGGCACCCCAGGGTGTCACGGCACACTGGTTGAGAGACTGATCTACTTTATATTTTTTTTACATGTTCCTGTTTACATTAGATAACTGCTTACATTTTTAAGTGCTTTTTGTTTGCTTAAAGTCCTACCTGGCCTTCCCCTATGTGATGTTAAGGATGGGGTCTGTTTACTCCAATTAACCCTTTCTGTACTATGCTGGCAGATTTAATCATCAGTTGTAAACTAGATTTGAACACGGGAGTACAGTAGCTTAGGTATTGAGTACAGTAGCTAGTAGTAGTTTTAATTGGTAATTGGTTTGTTTTATCCTTCTGATCAACAGTGGATATAGGGTTCTGTACATGGAGGTTTCCTATTTAATTAATTCTTCTTTTTTTTTTTTTTGGTTGAACTTGATGGCTTTGTCCCTCTGCAGCCTGACTGTATTGGTGTCATTCAGTTCCCAACCAGCAACCAGATTTCTAATCTTGCTCTCTGAGCCTTGGTCGATAAATCTTCTGCTCTGTTCTGGAGATGAGTGGAATGCATAATAAAATTGAGGGAATTTCCCAAGGAGGGTTCTGAGCTGGACACTGATCATTGTCCAACTGCAAGGCTTAACTCTTTAATTCTTATACAAATGCTGCTTCTGCAGTGCAGAGTATAATCCGCAGGACCTGGCATATGGTGTGGTGTTTAGCCTTCAGAATGGGAGAACTGGGACTAGAAGATAATTTTATTAGTACGTGGCAGGTGTGGCATGGATGACTTCTTAATTTTCTCATTAAACCCCTGCTCAGCATTTCATTATCTCCATATGATTTCAAAGATGGTAGTTAATACTGTATAATGTTGTGCCTATGGCAGTGTTTGTTGCCTACAGGAACCAGAATTCTTTCTTCTATTGCTAGTAGGTTCATCATTGAGAGAAAAATGCCTGCTTGCTATGGGCAACATGGACAGTCGTTGAGACCATAAATACATGAGGTGACATTGGTGACCACAAAATGCAGGTTGGTAATGTCACACAAAGTTCTCTCTGCTAAAAGTTCCCATATTTGAGGTACAGGCTGGTCACATGACTTTGACAGGTCACATGACCTGGTTCTTCTCCTTCCTCTTTATAATTTTTGCAGTGGTTTGGTGTTGGTAAAGTATCTCTCATTAGGGCTATACTGCTATTGTATAAGAGCTCATTCACATGGGTGCAGTGAGACATTTACCGTAATGAGTGGCCCCATTATTTGTATCGGTGGAAGAAACAATGCCTCGTTATTGGTGTCAGTGGGAGTATTAGTGCCCCATCGTTGGCATCGGTGGAGGGAATAATGCCCCATCCTTGGTGTCAGAGGAGGAATAATGCCCCATCCTTGGTGTCAGAGGAGGAATAATGCCCCATCCTTGGTGTCAGAGGAGGAATAATGCCCCATCCTTGGTGTCAGAGGAGGAATAATGCCCCATCCTTGGTGTCAGTAGGAGGAATAATGCCCCATTGTTGGTGTACAAGAAATAGTGCCCATAGTTGGTCTCAATGGGAGAAATAGTTCTCAAAGAGCCAGTTAAGGGAAAGCAAAGGGTCACATCCAGCCCACGGGCCACACTTTGGGGACCACTCAATTAAACCAAAAAGAGGGACAACTGAGGAGGTTTGGGGAAAAGAGATGTTTGGATACAAAGAGGGGACAGTTGGGGGTATCTAGTTTCCTTTAGCCAACAACCCAGTGCCCTACACCCATGTGACAGCCAAAGAACATCCATTTTTACAATAAGTAAACCTCTTCAGCAGCAAAGTATCTCTTGAATTTGTTTTTAATTGCCAGCAAATATTCTAGAAACGTCTGACGTTGTCTTGCATAAACAATATTTGTATGTAGCTTGTTCCTTATCCAGGGAACTGTATATCTGCAAATTGCAGCTTTTTTGGCAATCTGGATGCGTGGATCCAGGGCACATTTTGAATTTTGGCACCGCAGAGGTTAATGTCAGAGGAAAACCTCAGCTTGGCAGAAACGGGAAACAGATGGAAAGTGGTTTTACCACAGTGCTCAGGGAAAATCACAGAGAGGATTCTGGAAGGCTCGCAGTCAGGGAGTTTTAGTTCAAGATTTCAAGTCCCTTTTTTTTTTTTCATGGGGCATTATTTGTTTGTGTGCCGAATATTTCGATGTGACCCTAAAGCCTGTAAATGGAGGCAGCCTATAGCAACCCAGCAGATTTCAGCTTTGTATGGTCATGTCCAGTTCTAAAGTGAGTTCTTATTGGATGTATAGTAATTTTAGTGCAATTTGTGGCCATGCGATAGACCTTTTCTATCGATTTTGTTATTTTAAAAATGTTCACTGAATTTGTTCTTGTACGCCAGGGGTGCCCACAATTTTTGTGTTAAGATCTACTTTTCAAATGACGAGCTACATGAGATCTACCAACGAAAAAAAAAAAACCTCCCCTCTCTCTCTCCTGGTAAATATACCAAAATGGAACAAAGGGGCCACCATACACACGCTTTGTGATCTACCAGCATCAGCTTTGAGAGCTACTGGTAGATCACGATCTACCTAATGGGCACCCCTGTTGTAAGCTTTCTTTAAAGTGAACCTTCACCCTTTTCAATAACTGTACATCATTTTTCTCCTCCCTCCTGTTACACAATCTGTATTTTTAATTTATTTTAAAGAAGAAGTGAACTTTTAGACAAAGTGTACTTTATTCTTTTTGACCTTCCCCTGAACTTAACAATCCCACCCTCACCATGTCACGCATCCCAAGAGGCTTCGGGTAATCTCCACCACACTGCATGTGTTTCCTGCAATCTGCACCACACGGCACATCATCAGGGGGCTGGCTGCAAAAACCTGAAAAAGACAGTCAACTCCTGATGATGGAGGGACCCAGTTATTTTGTGCTGCCCCCTTCTACCCTAACAAGATCCAACCCTCCTACCCTAACAAGATCCAGCCTTCCTACCCTAACAAGATCCAGCCTTCCTACCCTGACAAGATCCAGCCCTCCTACCCTAACAAGATCCAGCCCTCCTATCCTAACAAGATCCAGCCCTCCTACCCTAACAAGATCCAGCCCTCCTACCCTAACAAGATCCAACCCTCCTACCCTAACAAGGGCCACCCCTCTTACCCTAACAAGGGCCACCCCTCTTACCCTAACAAGGGCCACCCCTCTTACCCTAACAAGGGCCACCCCTCTTACCCTAACAAGGGCCACCCCTCTTACCCTAACAAGGGCCAACCCTCCTACCCTAACAAGGGCCAACCCTCCTACCCTAACAAGGGCCAACCCTCCTACCCTAACAAGGGCCAACCTTTCTACCCTAACAAGGGCCAACCTCATAACACAAGGCATACCAAGGCTGGGACCAGAGAGGCAAGACGGACACCCACCCATCAATAGAGGCTCAGCATCACATGTGGGCATTACATAGGGTAGTCTGAGTGCAAATTCAATCTCTCAAGGAATGTCCGCCCCTCCAAAAAGACATTTTGATATTTACATAAGGCCTCCCATTCCCATTCCGTCCCAGCTCATTGCATCAGGGCTGAGGGTTATTGGGAGGAGTACTGTGGCAGGGTGCTGTGATGTTTTCAAGACGCTATGTACAGCACCCTGCCGGACCCTCTCACCAGCCATGATCTGCCTACATTGCACAGACACCCAGTGATGACATCAATGGGTCTAAAATAAGGTGTTTAATGAAAGTGGAAAGGTTTGATTTAAAAATGTGATTAGCATGTTGATGGAGGAGAGAGGAACCAGGGAAGGCAGATCAATATAGCCGTGTATGTTTCTAGCGGTCTTTGTATTCACACTCTGCCCTCTCTGTCACTTTGTAGTTGCTGGAGACAAGAGGGTGCCAGCAATGCCCGGGTCCCCCATGGAAGTGAAGATACATTCTAGATCCTCACCTCCCACGATGGCACCTCTGCCACCAGTGAATCCATCTGGCCCAAGGCCTGTATCGTTTCCACCCTCCTCACGTATGTATATTGCACTTGTTTTTTTGTGTTGCTGTATTTATATACTGTAAACCAATATGCCAGTGCTTTACAGAATTATTTGCACTTTTCACATCTATCCCTGTCCTCAAGTGACCATACAGTCCCCAGTCTGGTCATATACGTAGACCCACTCAAGGATCAGTTGGTGTGGAAGCCAGTTAAACAATATTAGCCTGTGGGAACAAACTGGAGGACCTGGGAGAATCACACGCAAAGACCATGAAGAAAGCGTTTAAGCGTTTCATGTAGCAATTGAACCCATGACCCCAGTGCTACAAATCAGCTCTGCTAACCACGAAATACAGCGAAGTTAAAGGAAATAAGGTGTCTTGTGGATATTTTCTTTGTGTTCAGGGCTTAAAAAAAAGAAACCCGTTAAAAGTTTTGTAGTACATTATACAGTAGATCACCCATATATTCCCTATACTGCAGAGCTGGAGGAAGCAGTACAAAAAGCCAATCCTGTTCTGAGAAGGAGCATGCTGGTAGGAGAGATCAGAGTGACAGTGAGATGAGCTCATCACTCTGCTGTTTCTTCTTTCACTGTCCAGTCCCAGGCTGGGGTGGGGCCAGAAGCGGGTTGCATGTTGCTGGCCATCAGACTGAGGATATCTGGTAGCAGAATAAAATTACTATGGAGAGCTGAATATTGGAGCAAAAGCTGTTTTGTTTTTGTTCTGCGATCTTCTCGCGTCTTTTGATCACGTGTTTGTGCGTGTTTGACGGGTGTCCACGTGCGGTCAAAAATGTGTGTTTGAGCGGCTGCATTTGTGGTGCCATTAACAAGTAACGGTACCACAAGTGCGTTGTATGTTTTTAACGCATTGCATGAAAGGCGTGCGCATGACACACTTTTGGCACATATTCACGCAACGCCAAAGTGTGTACGGGCCGAGTGCTAGTTCACACCAGATCATTGCGCTAAAAGCATGATGCCCATGTGTCTAGCACGCACCATCGCCCAGCTAGGTGTGTTTCGTTTAAATTCATTCACTTGAATACTTCTTTGACCTAATGGGCTATACACCCGGGGTAGGCAACTTCTGCACTCCAGATGTTATGGAACTACAAGTTCGGGGAGGCATTACAAGACTCCGACAGCCACAGGCATGGCTCACAGAGGCATGATGGATTTGTAGCTTCACCACAGCATGGGTAGTGTTGTGGTTCACTATAGCATGGGTAGGCTGAGGTTTCCTACCCATGCTATAGACCAGCGTTTCTCAACCCTTTTTTTTTTAGGCATGGCACCCTTTAAAACTATGCACAATCTCGAGGTTCCCCAGTTTAAAATTAAAAAAAACGGCATGTGGCCACTCCAAAATACATACCAGACCCTTCCCTTCTTTTTCATATCAGAGTCTTCCCCCTTTTACATCAACATTTCCCCTCCACATCAGAAGCCTGTCTACACCTTGGAAAGGCATGCTGCTGCACAAACCTTTTGAGGCGCCCCTGAGAAAGCCAGAAGGCACCCCAGGGTACCACACCACCCTGGTTGAGAGAGGCCGCTATAGACTCTATAGAAGCAATAGGTTCATTTGCAGTACCAGGGAACTCCTGACAAGCCACTTCAAAGATGGCCATAACCCTTTGTTTGCAGACATATTGTATGCCTGCTTGGAGTGCCAAATTGAATATGCCAAATTAAATATGGAACAGTTATAGATGGCAAGGTGCATGCATTTATATCGTCACTCTGGTCCTTTTGAACCAGAGATGGAACCAGCATCCCCAAAATCTTGCACGTTGCCATTATTAACGCATTCCAGGCCATTTTTGGACTGGCTGAGAGCCATATACAAGGAGAGAAGCTATATGCAATCCATAAAACACCACTGACAAGACCTAAAAATGTATCCTTTTAGTAATTTATTTTCGTGATGACTATTTAAATTGGATGTAATTTATGCAAGCAGGACACTTCCACTTGGTTAGTAGGTAAATAACATTAACAGTGTAAATATTCATTGGATGTGCTTAGCAGTGTTGTGCAGGATGTGATAAAGCCCTTTGGCGACACCTGGGGGCGGTCGGTGGTATGGCACCGTGATACTTTTCTAAAGGAAATTTATACGGGGATTATTAATAATATTATTATTATTCAGAATGTATATAAGGAAAACATTACAGTTACAATACAAATCAAGACTTGTAAATATTTTCTTATTTTATTTTGTATGGCCAGGACGAACAAATGTAAACATTTTTATTTCCTTGAATTCTAAATATTAATATTATGACATAAGTAGAAGTTAGGTTTGCAGGTGATATCATTGGCTTACTAAATGGAATAAAGTGCAAGCTTTCGAAACATGACTTGTTCTTTCCAATGTATAACCTGACCGTAAGAAACTTACATTTTATACATGAAACAACAAAGATACAGATGTTAGCAACTTTAATTGTACTCATTTTATTAGGTAATTATTAAGGAAGTACAGTGGTACCTCGGCTCATGAACGCTTCTGTTCGCAAACAATTCGGTTCGCGAACAGGAAGTTCGGCAAAATTTTGCTTCAGTTTGATGAACACAACCGCAGACATCTTCCCAATTTTAACACATTGTCGTGGCTTTCTCTATTCGAGATCGCGGTCTGATCACAGTTTGATTTGGTTTGCGACCAATTCGGTTCGCGACCAGAATCGTGGAACGAATTAGGTTTGTGAACCGAGGTACCACTGTATTCATTTAACGTAAAGTGACAAGAAACCATTTTAGTTTAAAGTACACTAAACCATTACAATGATCTATTTTTTGGTCTGGTAAATAGGACATTGAAAGTCTTTTGTTATATCTGTTTGATAAGTGCAAAGAAAACCCTGTTGATCATGTAAGAACTCTTGTCAGCTGATAACTTCCTCTTCCTCTACCGACTGTTATAAGTTAGCATTATTCCTAGTTCTCTTTGTGCACTACAGAACACCTATGTTTTGGAAATTAAGAGAGGGAGAAGTGTTCTGTAGTCCTAGTACACTTCCTTTCCTAAGATGACAACGATGCCCCTGCTTAGATACATTACGGAAACTGGGCGTTGTCACTCTAGCAGAGGAAGTGTGTTACTGGCATGATCACCAGGTAAAAATAAAGGGGGAAAAGCCCGAAAAAAAACTAATGCAGCCACCATATCTAATGACTGGTAATCTGTGATATAGTAAATGTTTGTTTTTGGGTTTTGATACATTTTTAATGATTTCATTTCAGGGTTTTTTTGTACCGGCACAGACAGAGGTACAACTGAAAGCCAATGGGATCACAGTCAGGCTCACACCTTAGGTACATTTTGCCTTACCTGCAGCCTAGGGGACACATTTTGGGGTTTTTATGTGCAGCCCTCTGGACCCCTGAAGATTGAAGTCTGTGTTTTCCTTTTATTGCCCTGTAATAGCAGTAATCTCTAGCAGTCTCATGTAATATGTCTCCAGTCTATGACTGTCTACTGGAGCATGGCCTTAGTCTCTAACAACTCCTATAGCATATTCACAGCCTCTGACCATCTCCTGCTGCATCTTTGCAGTCCCTGACCATCTCTTGTAGCATGCTTGTACTTGCTGATGATCTCCTGTTGCATATCTGCTATCTCCGACAGCGTTTTGTAGCATCACATTCACTAAACAATATATGGGCCCTTTGTTGATGTCAGGGGCCGCACTTGTAGTCCCCATGCCAGGAAAGCTGATGATCACTGCCTTAGGTGCTAGATGTTGATTAACCATGACCACAGGTTCTCCTAAGCCTAAGAGAAGGATGTACTGTGAGCACATAGCTGGTAAAGAGAGGTTCTCATGGTTGAGCCCCCTTCTTGGATTCTGGAGTTGCTTCCAAACTTCGGCCCTCCAGCTGTTGCAGAACTACAAGTCCCATAAGGTGTTGCAACACTATAATAGCCACAGGCATAACTTCCAATGGCAGATGCATGTGGGATTTGTAGTTTCACCACAGCTAGAGGGCCGAAGTTTGGCTACCACTGCTCTGTCATCACAACCTTAGTTAGAAATGCTGCAAACAAGTCATATTTCTTTCTTGACATCTAATTCAGCATTTTAAATACATTGCGTGTAACTGCAACAGTCCATTGCTAATTTATTTCTTCCTGTGATATCTTCAATCCATCTTATTGTCAGCTTTTTCTGCCCTGCTAATTTGATTAATGAATACTCCATACCCATAACTGAGTATCTCTCTCATTATTCTTCAGTTTCCAATGGCATGAATCACTCTCCTTCTTTACTGAACGGAGCTCCGTCCCCACCGCAGCGTTCCAGCAATGGCCCTTCCTCCTCTTCTTCATCCTCGCTGGCCAATCAGCAGCTGCCGGCCACCTGCGGGGTGAGGCAGCTCAGCAAACTGAAGAGGTTCCTCACGACTCTGCAGCAATTTGGCAACGACATCTCCCCTGAGATTGGAGAGAAGGTCCGGACCCTTGTTCTTGCTCTGGTGGTAAGTAGGCCTGGAGACAAGGGAGAAAATCTCAAAGGGTGGAGGACATACAGAGTATACAGCAGAAAATAAACTGGAAACCTGTTTTATAGAAGATGTATAGGCAACATATAAGAACGGAAAGATTTGCAAACAGACATTGTTGCTAGTTTCTCTCATTGGTTATTCGTTTTCACTGATTACATAGCTTTGCACAACTTTTCTAACTTTGCAGTCAGCTATGATACAATCATGAGGCAGAAAAGAGGAAAGCTGTAGAAGATATTCATTTCATGGACATAAATGAGTCACAAGGAAGGCAGCAGTGAGCTACTAAAGGGTCAGAGCACATACAATCTGTTTATTCTGAGTTTCTCTCATTGCACTTCAGCACTGCAGTGTTTACTGCTGAGAAGAAATGCCAGTATACAATATTTCCGTTTCTCTAGTGTCTTCTAGTCCCTTTTTCTCCCTATTTAATATTGGAGGATAACATTCTGTATTTAGTCGAGGCAATGCCAGGTAAAGCTATGTTTTAGTGCTAGATAGAGTGGGGAAGAGTTAGAAGCTCTGCCCCTACTCCGACACTACTACTACTACTAGTGACAACTGCAAAATATTCTAATTTCCCTCAGTTTCTGTCCTGGCGACACTGGTCACCACCACCGTTCTCGTCTAACCCTTCCCACACTATCCAGAATGTGAAATTTATGCTGGAAGTTTAGAAACATAACATAAGCTGAATGTAATTTGAATGTTGTTTTAAAAACAAACATCCCACCTTTCCTGTCAGAAATTCTCTTGACTGATGATCGTTTCTCCTTTCCACAACCCAGAACTCAACTATAACCATAGAAGAATTTCACTGCAAGCTTCAGGAAGCCACCAACTTTCCTCTTCGGCCTTTTGTCATTCCATTCCTCAAGGTGAGTGTTTCAGCCACATCCTGAGCTGGTTACAGGGGAAGAGATCTTGCTTTGTGCTAACTCTTGGCTTCAATCAATACAGTTTCTTGGTTTTATTTCTAGGCCAACTTGCCGCTTCTTCAGAGAGAATTACTGCACTGTGCCCGCACGGCCAAGCAGACTCCATCTCAGTACTTGGCACAACATGAACACCTTCTACTCAATACCAACACAGCTTCCCCACCTGATTCCTCTGAGCTGCTCATGGAGGTCAACGGCAATGGGAAAAGACACAGCCCGGAAAGGTAAAGAGCGGTAAATCTCTGCATTGTTCTAATCATCTGTTACTATACTTTATATTAGGTCACCAAGTCATTTCCTTTCTCTAACAACATGACATTTGCCTATTTTTCAAATAGCCTTCTTAGATATTCCCTCACACTTTTTAGGAATATTGTTCCAGCACGATAATGCTTCTTGCCATATTGCTAAACTGTAAAGGACTGGTTTTTATTCCAGCATAATAATGTTATTAACTGGAGAGAAAACAGCCTAAACCTCACTGAAAACCTGGGGGCAAGATTAAAGCTTGAAAACACATTGGGGGGAATTTATCAAAGCAATTGCGAATCTTTGAACTTGCACGGAAAATATTTGCTGCTCTTTGCGCCAGATTTATGATGCTAGTGTAATGCTGTTCATAATTGAGGTTTAATAGACTCCAAGAAAGAAGACTCGTAACTCCAGGAAAGAAACTGTCGCTTCTTGAAGAAGTGGTTACAGGGACTTCTTAAGTTGTGATTGTTTTGTTAGGTGATGCTCCAGTTCCAGACAGCCGCAGGAAACAAGTGCAGATGAAAATAGGTGCAAAAAAACATGCAAGTGGAAAAGTAGTGCAAGCTCTGGTCAAAACAGGTGCCGTTGGAAAAGTAGTGCAAGCTCTGGTCAGAACAGGGGCACATAGTAAAAGACAGATTTGCTCATTAAAAAAAATGATCTCGGAGGCAAAAACTGTCACAGTTGCTTTGATAAATTCTCCCCATTGAATCTTTAATTAAGTGCAGGTATCATATTCTTACACCAGAAGAACTTAAAAAAAGTAGTGCGTTCTTTTTTTGTACATGAAAGCATTTATTATTGCTGCTTGATAATATATTATATTACATAATATAAAACTGAATTCAGCACTAAATTTAGATTACATTATATATAACATGATGAGTTTCAGCACTTTTTAGAGTAAATCTATCACTCCAAATTAGACAAATCAAACATTCAAAAGTGTCCACAATTTTACCCAATAATGAATCAGTAAATCAGTAGCAAAGCACTGAAGACATTAGATCAGCATTAAAGCCATTCAACTAGCATTTTTAGAAGGAAAGGGAGCTAATGAGGGTTGATGCTGGCAGTCTTTTGATGAACAGGTTACCCAGTATAACATAATTAAACATAACCCATAAACTGATGACCATGTCGTCACAATGACAATCCCTATATTTCCTTGGTATGGGTCCCCTTTAAATTCAGTTTAAGAGACCTTAGCCAAGGGTTCTTGGAGAAACAAGGGTTGTTTGGAGTCGGAGCCCTTACCGGAAATAAACCAGGAGGACTGGTCATGAGGCAAAGTGATGCTGCAGATACTTCGTTCTTTGGCACATTCTTGTCTACAATCTTTTTAGCTCGGTTCTTTTGATTTCCTGACAAGGGTTCAGGTTTAATTCAACCCTTGTGGAAGTTGACGAGCTGAGGCCAATGTCCGAGCCCCATGAAAAGTGAAACTTGCTACACTCCATACAGTATAATGACCTTTCAGACTATTCCTCTCAATTCAGGCCATATGTGGATTACAGTAGAACCTATCACACCCGCATCTATAATTTATTACTGAATGAGGCCCTTCCTTGGCAATGTTGGTATGCTGGTGACATCTACATAGCGCCATTTACCCAGACCAGTCCAGCGTGAGTAAGCAGGAGTTTAAAGTTGGCTGACATTACACAGCAAAATCAGACATGAGATGCCTGCCAGAACCTTTACTATTGGTGAAATTCTTTTATGTGTGTAGAGAGCCCCCCTGACTGCAGGAGCACAATGTCACGGTGACCTTGACTTCAGCTCCATCTTGAGGTTTTGATTCACTACCACCTTCTCTCTACCCAATGAGAGTACTAATATATAATTATGTGACTGAAATGTTCTATTGGTCAACAATTTGTTCACATAGTTCTATTTAACCTGTTTGCAGGAGAGAAGATAGCATGTTTGAGAGGGAGCCGTTACCTCCTGAACCACCGATGAAGAGGGTGTGCACCATTAGCCCTGCTCCTCGCCACAGCCCAGCCCTGTCCTTGCCTCTCTTGACTTCCTCCAACCAGTTTCACCCCACCCCACCTCCTCTACAGCACTACTCATTGGATGACATCCCAGGATCACAGTTGTACAGGGATCCGCTGTCCAAGATGGGGGAACATAGAGAAGTTAGAGAGCGTCACCATCCAGTAGGCGGTAAGTGAAAGCCATGTCAGTTGATCTAAAAAATAAAGTGGATGAGAAAAAAGTGTATTTAACCAAAGCAACCAATCAAGCACCATTTGGCAATGTGCAGTTGGAAAATGGTCCTTCAAATCTGGGTGATGCCAGCAACATGGCGGACACTGTTATTCCTGGGGGTTATTCCATCAGCGAGGCAATGTGGGACTCTTAATATATTGCACCTTCTAGTAGTGAAATAAGCTTTATTGCTGTCTCTGACAGTCGCTATCCTATTTTCTGGTGTGGGCATCACAAGGACAGGAAGTGAGGGAAAATCTTCCCAGTGGGGTTCCAGGGAGAAATAGAAACCTGAGTGAAGGTTTAACTCTTTCCCACTCTATTCAAAATAGAAAAAAAAAAGAATGGTCTTGAGTTAAGTTTTAATACCATGGGTTAAGGGAAAGGATTGAGAAGCGGAATGCATTTCCTGACATTTTATTGGGTCTGGTGTGATAATGATTGACAGATTAGTTTTAATATAACTCCTATATGTTTTGGCTTCAGGGATTAACGGCAATCCGTCCAATGGCTACCAAGAAGAACTAGTGGATCACAGACTGACTGAGAGAGAATGGGCAGAGGAATGGAAGCACCTAGACCACGTAAGACTGTCTTTTCATTATCTGATGACACTTAGTAGCACTGTTTGGTGGATAAGTGAACCTGAAC